GTTTCCTTCAAGAGTGTCCTACAAGAGTGTCCCACAAGAGTGTCCCAGAAGAGTGTCCCACAAGAGTGTCCTACAACAGTTTCATTTGGACATGTGTAGCTTTTTGAACGTGTTTGCATTCGGGTTCGTGGGCTCCATCTTATTGCATACATCATAAAACGACAATAGATGACTGATTGCTCTGCAGCCAACTTTGCCACGCCTCAGCCATTCCGACTGCATGCCATTGGCCGAGCGTGGGAATCTGGCAGCATTGAACTATTGAATTGAACTACAAGTAGGATGATGTACTGTAAACTTCTGTAACACGACCTACGAGAATAGCGGTCGTTGAAGCTGACCCTCTTCAGTGCATTCTTCATGATTTGTTATGTTGTAGTGGATGAGCCGCATTTTCCCACAAGATCTACTCAATATAACGGTAGCCATGTTGTCTGAGAGCAGGAAAAACATGATTCGCTTTGGTGGTGATAATCTTTGTGGAAACTTTGTGTCATCATGTTCAGCATCTTTCGTGGCCTCAAAGGAGAAGGTCAAGGCCTTTGGATATCCATACCTCATGCTCTGGTCAAGTGAGCTGCAGTATAATCTCACGATAAGCTGCCACATTTGCCTGCAACTTGCAGGTTTCATCACCTACCGCGGATGAAACTTTAGTCCCTCTATGTCCCTATCATCAGTCCTCCCTTCGCGGGACAAAACAGCTCCAGACCCTCAACTGTGATGAACAGCTCTTCAAATCCAAGTGCCTGAGCTTCAGACTCCCATAGTGCTGCTGGTACGTTGGACATCACCTGATTGAGTCAAGATAGGCTTGGTTCATCAGGGTTCACTTGAGGCATCTTGCTTCTCAAAGAGCTTGACAGCGACACTGCGAGTCTTTTTCACTCAGGTCTGCAGTTCTACGTTCTAAGTCTCGCCCACTGACCTATTGACACCAATGCGAGGCGGATGAAGAGCTACCAAGAGACATGCACGATGCTGCTCACTACAGCTGCGCCTGTCGGAGTGACGTCCTCCTGTACATTGCATTTGTGCCGAGCACTCGATCAGTCGAGGCCAATGAAGGTCTTCAGGACCCATTTGAAGTGATGGGATGTTAGACGTTGACAGTGGTCACCTTCTTCCATTCACCAACATTTGGTCCCAACAAGGAGCACTTCTCCTTCATCTCACCAAAGGGGCATTTGCCTTAGCTCGAACGATTCGTGTACTCACGGATTGTCTGGATGCCGCTTGACCAAACGAGCAATGTGCTGTTGTCTACCAATTAAAGGCTACTTGCAGCCCTTTGTGATCCTTTGTGCGTAAATATTGTAAATGTATTGTATTGTATTGTTACATCTTTGTGATCCGTTGCGCTGTCAACCGCTTGCAAGTGGGCACTAGGGACAGGCCAACAAGGTGTTCATTAAACCATTTATATGTGGACAATTTGTGTGAACGTGCCCGGATCATTTTGTGAGGGGAGGGCAGGTTGTGCAGCTGAATCTGGAAAAAGACCCTCTCGGAAGCGCCACAGTTTCCTGATGATTTAATGAAGAAATCAAGTGAAATAGTCTTTCGAGGTTTAGGAAAGGGAATGAAAGGAACTTGCTTGACACTCTGCACTGAGCCCAGTTGCAGTTGCGGTGGCATCCGAAATCTGCGCCACACTCATGGTGGCAATGCATGGATGCGACCACCTTCTCATGGAGCCACGGCATAGAAGGATAAGGACAGGAGCGGTGGCAGGAGGAATCGTGGTGACATTTGTGGTGGCACTCCATGATTGGCTCCACCTCTGCACAGGTTTTGTCCTAAAAACCATGGCCTCCAACCCAAAAGCCTCCAACCTACTAGCGACGGCCTCCAACCTAAAAGCGATGGCCCCACCTCTGCACAGCTTTTCTTCAATTCCCACCAAGTAGAGTCGCACATCTTCCAGCACCCCATGTCACCGTGACACTTGTCACGACAAGTGATGAATGCCTGAATCTCTGGCTGCGATCCTCGCAAGGAAAGGGGCGGCATGGGCGGCATAGGTTCTTGGTCCTTTTGTTGTCCACCATGTTGCTCAGCATGGTGGTCAAAGTGATCATGGCCGTGGTGCTCATGGTGGAAGCCGTGCTCATGGTGGAAGCCATGGTCGTGGTGGAAGCCGTGCTCATGGTGGAAGCCATGGTCGTGGTGGAAGCCATGGTCGTGGTGGAAGCCATGGTCGTGATGGAAGCCATGGTCGTGGTGGAAGCCGTGCTCATGGTGGAAGCCATGGTCGTGGTGGAAGCCATGGTGGTAGCCATGGTCATGTCCATGATGGAAAAGCTTCCAAAGACCCGCCTTTGGGCATTGGTGGTGGCACTCATGGTCCGTGCACATGACATGGCATTTTTGTGCTTCCTCAAAGGATTGGCACTTCATCTGGAGACCAGCCATGGGGTTGGGGCACCGGTGATGACACTGACGATCCCATTGGCAGTGTCCATGGCATTGCAGGGATGCCTCAATCTTTGCCCTCATGTGTGGGCAGCTTGGCAGTGGGCAGGTCTTGTGGCATTCATGGTCACGACCACATATGCGATGACATTCCATGATGGGAACCATCTCGTGGCACGTCTTCTGGAACTGAAGCCAAAAAGGCTTGGGACACTTCTCCATGCATCCCACGTCTCCACTGCATCTGGCCTGGCATGCCCGGAACCTCAATGCCATCATCTCGGCAGGCGGAGGCTGAGGCTGAAAGTGCTGGAAGTCAGGCTTGACGTCAGGGTTTACAGGAAGAGCCTCGGGGAAAACCTTGGGGCACTGCTCATGACAAGCACGGTCTCTTCCGCACATTTTGTGGCAATCCCCCGACTTGGTGAGGACCCCACACTTCTGCACAAACTTCACTACCGGGCGGTTGCAAACCTCCCGGCATTGGAGGTCCGAGCCACAATCCACATTGCACTGCATGATGCCCTTCACTTTCGCCGCCATCTTAGGGCACTTTGGCAAAGGGCAAGTGTTGTGGCACTGCCTGAGTTGTGCGCGGCCCTGCTCCAGGTTAGGAAACAACTGCACATAACAAACGACACAACTGATTGTACCCTGAATCACTGAAGAGTTCACGAAGGCTACGGAGAAGCAACAGACTTACTGGTGATTCCATTGCCTGCACCCTTAAATCAACCAAACCAGGACACAGGTCATCGCCACACATGCGGTGGCACTTGACGATGCCCATGCCTTCTGCACACTTCTCTTGCATGTGGAGCCATGGCTTTGGGCATTTGGAGATACACTCCTTGCACAATGGTTTACTCATTCGTGAAAGGGGTGTCCACAACTAGGCATTAAGGATAAACCTCAAACCACAGTAGCCAGGATCAATTAGATTGAACCTTTTTCCAATGGCACACGAGTTTAGGCAGTCAACCCAGTTCCACCGTTCCACCACGTTCCACCTACAGGAGACGCAAAGTTATTTGTGCAATCACATGCTTTTGTCGCACAAGTTGGACTCCTCATCTCCAGCGCACCTCTCCTTGCACATCCAGCGCTCGCCCATAGACTTGTGCCACTTCTCATGCCACTTCTTCATTGGCCATTCAGCTTCCTCGTCCACTGGCTGGCCAAGGCGGCCAAGGAACTGGAATTGATGCCGATAGACATGTCCCAGGCTGACCAAGCCGACAAGGCCAAGTGCAGAGAGCAAAGCTGCAATCGAACAGCTGAAGTTCATTCTGGTTGAGTGCAAAGGCTCCCCCAAAAAGTGTGGTGCTCCACCTGTCCGATCTAAGATAGGACAAATAGGAAAGAACGGCTTAAGCCCAAAAGCTCCGAACATCAAGAATCTTGCATATCTGGCCGACATCTGCAACCGGAATGAGTCCAGAACACAATCCTAGAGCTCAATTGCTGTGGTCCTACAGGCATGGTCTGGACTGCCCGGCTTCTTGCCATGCTTGCTCGGCATCATCGGATTGTGTGATCGCCCCAGATGCATCCTAAGGTCGGTAGGACAATTGTTCTTTGATAAAGAATATCGTAAAGAAACTATAAGAATATGCTCAAAGACTAGTGACTATTGTCTCAAAAGCTTTTGCTCACTTGTGCGTTGCACTCTTTGAATTTGCTCACTCCAAAGCGCCACCTGCCTGTGCAAGACGATCTGCTGGCCTCACGTCAAGTGACTGCTGTATAGATCGAACTGGTCGAAGGCCTGCTGAAAACAGGTTCTGATGTAAGGCTCCAACCCTTGCATTGTCTGCTCCGACTCGGCCTCCTAAATTGCCAAACATTGATTCCACAGTCCCACACCGTTTCTGCGTTGCAATTTGGAAAGGAGCCCCCCTTTGGCATTGCTTCCATTGCTGGGGCCAATAATATATATATATAAATAAGATCAAATAAGTATATATCTAGATTTAACTCCAGCCAGAGAGAGAATGACACGAACCTGGAGCATCGATTCCCAAAGAGTTCAAGACACATTCGGCGCCGCTTCGGAGCCTCCTCTGCTTGCTGCACTTCGTGCGCAAGCCTGGCGACCTCCTCCTGGAGAGCTATGACAGCTAAGCTGCCTGACCTATCCTGTCGTTTGTGACAAAGTACCATCTGTGGATAGTTTATAGAACAAAACTATAGGACTCCTTAGAGTTGTATCCATGTTGCAACCCCAAAATGGATGAATCTTGAGGTTTGCAAGACGTTCACCTGTGTTCAAGCTTCATCTTTCCTTCGCACATCCCCTGATGCTGCGATTTTCCTGTCCTTCTTGGCGCTTACCAAAGTGGCAAGCTCTCTCGTCACTTTCTGCTCGCTCAGTTGCTTAGTGAGATCGTTCTCCAGTTTTGCTTTCTTCAGCCGCCGGACGGCGTTCGTCCAGTCTTTCGAGACCTGGAGCTGCTCGAACTGCTCAAATCGACAGCAACACTGTTCAGGAACACAATCACCTAATAATGGCTTCAACTTCAAACCTTTACACTTTGCATGGAATTCATTTGTCCTGAAGTTATCACTGTTCTTTTGACCCTAAACTTCAAATTCAACGTATGTGGCAGCGTTTTCAGCACCCGAAGGCTTTGAACTCAAGATTTGCTCGTCCTTACCACGCTTTGCAAACTTTAGCTTCAGATTGCGTTTTGTTACCATATGGTTGCAACTGTCAATGCACACTTGTTGGCCTGCACGGCAGTTTGCAATCTGTGAGCATTAGATTAGATTCGATTAGAGTTCATGTGCAACAACAGCTTCATGGTGGTGTGTGCAAAGTGAGTCTTTCAAACAATGGCAGTGTCAGGATAAGTATTTACACTCTTTGGACATGCACACACTATCAAATATTTGCATGTGCTAAATCATCTGACGCTTCACTGCTTGTGCTCGTCTTTGTGTGGCATTGCACATTTGGAACTTTACATGTGCCTATATTTTGGTGCTTGACTTGGGCCTAGTCGTTTGTCCGGGTACATAAAGGCAAAAAACTTCAGCATTGGTCTGAGGCAAACAGCGAACACGACTAGCTCGAGAAGAGGAAACGTGCATCACCCCTCCGCAACCATCACATCATCAAAGTTGGAGCACGAAACCCAAATCCCACCAACATAAACTTCCTGAATGGCAAAATACACACCGTCGAGGTAAGATTCTTTTCAATCCATCAGGACGCCAACAAATAAGTCAAAACAACTTTCACTTCGAGATATTCAAGCAAACATGAAATATGGGCCTTGAGCAGGTCAACCAACCAGATTTGGAGAGTCCCCTGCAAGTAGAAGCCTTTTGTCTCTGCCGACAGCTTTCATCCCTTTGTTCTAACACGGCGCCTGGACTGCCGCTGTCTGGGCTTCTTTCAGAGCCACGCGCTTCTCCAGGGCCTTCTGCTCTGCCGCACAAAGCCGCTGCGGCAACTCGTGCAGCGCCGCACGGACTTGGGCGCTGCGGCAGCGGGAGCCTCAAGAGCCATTTCGGCCCAAGCGGAGCCAAAGCGGAGCCGAGCCGTGAGGGATGCTTTGTCGATGTCTCGAACGGCGTTTTGTTTATTCCATGGGTCTTTCAAGGCAGCAACAGTGGAACCATATGCTTGGCTTGTACAAATTTCAGAAGTTGCAAACATGGTGCATGGGTTTTAAGTCTGGTTTGAACCAGGCTCTGGTGGCCACTTGGCCAGCTTCCTGCCTCTATGAAGAACCATTTCCTGCGGGGGGGTGGGCAAAGCGATGCAGTGAATGGCTCAGGGCGCTGGAAGTTGCTATGCATGGTCGCTCTTTTAGACTCTTTTGCAACTTGTCCTGAAGCTCCTGCACCTTGGCTCGCCCACTCAGCTGAGTATCCATTTGCTCCAGGCTCTTCCCACAGAGCGCAGGCAAAAGCTCGTGGTAAGAAGCCCAAAGCCTCCGATTTCCTTACAGGTGTTGCGGCGACTGCAAAGCTGAAGAACCTATCTTGGGAAGTGTCCCGTGTACGTTTGATCCATTGTAATGGTCCCGCCCTTTTCTGCCAACTCCGACACTGACCACTGGCGTCGTGAGAAAGGTCAATGGTTGGGCTTCTTGCGACCACGAGGCTGTGCCGCAGCTGTTTACGAATGCTGGCCAAAGCGTCTCGATTGGCCTGGACAAATCATCAAAGCGCACCTACCCAGTGTACCGTTGCCTTGTCATCACGTCAAAACACAACGAAGAACCAGCCTGTTGCAAGGCAACCTTAATTGGCACGGCGAGATTGTGCTGAATACACGTTCGAAGTTAATCCATGCAAACAAAGAGTCCTACTCAAGAATAATCATGCACCGTGTGCACAGCTCTGTCCGTTGCACAAACAGGCTCCTGCTCCGTGCTTTCAATTGCATTCAGTGGCTTTCATGTGGAGAACAAACTCTCATGTACAACGTTTTGTGTTTTTGCCTGCCATGTGTGAAGCTCAAAGCAATACAAAGAGGAAGGGGTACACTTTCATGTTTCTTGGAGGGAGAGTTAAGTCATGACCACCACGACTCATGTTAGTGATCAATCTTGTTTTCTCTCGTCTATTTTTCCTATTGTCTCTGAAGTTGGGCCACTATATTAAAAATCGCTCCAAGGTGCAGAAAGAAACGCAGTTGCTACATCGCCACCGCGCACTTTCAAGGCCTTATTGTCAAACGGGTCAAACATATGGCGTTCAAGCGGGTCTGAAAACTGTTCACGACCGACATCCCTATGACTCGATCCATGTCTTGGCCTTTGCCCGGAAAGAAGCTGACATCTGGCTGTTCCTTTGCTTCTCCTCTGACTTCCTCCAAAGCTTGAAATCCTAGGTCTCAGTCCAAGCATCCAAGCTTGCTTTAGTTTGGCAACCTAGCATATTCATTGACAAAACATGCTCAACTATTCTTATTCACTCTTATCATAACCCGCCCCGGTCGATGGCTTTCGCACGGAGTTCGCGCCTCCCAAAGCTCATGCACAGTGGTTGGTGCCGAGTTGGTCTTTCGTGGAAAAATCCAGCAGTTCACCAGGAACTCCAAGGCCGCCATCTTGATCCTCGGACCAAAGAGGCATGAGGTGTCTCTGGGGATCTCACGGGAAACACCCAACATGGGCCATGATCAAAGACTTTGAGGAACTCTGAGAATTGACCATCGCTTTTAGGTTGGAGGCCATCGCTACTAGGTTGGAGGCCATGGCTAGTAGGTTAGAGGCCAGTGCTAAGGTTGGATGTGTTTCACACCTGCTTCAAACACTCCACATCCTTCCACTCGTAGACCAGCGGCGCTACTGTTGCTACTTGCATGAGCTCGTCCCCCGTCACCGAGTGGATGGCGCGTGCACCGTCCACCTTGTGAGCTTGGTATACGCAACGGCTTCTTTGTGAATGACATAGTCCTAGGGCATCCTATGGTGATATGGTGTGATATGTACTATCTGTTTGGTTTGTTTGATCTCTTTTAATGGTTTACGGTTTACAGTAGTCTTTAGTCAAACAGCTAACCTGTATCTGTCCCCACAATTGCACACACAATCTGAGCTTCTGGCTAAAAAGGCGGCCAAGTGACGCAAGTGTGGCAAAACGCGACTGGAGATCTGTCAAAATTGCAGTGCGAAACCCCTGGTTGAATGCCAGTGTGATAAATCGATGTACTTCTTTCAAGGCAAACCGGGAGACTAGGCCATCAAATGTAGCTCAGAATTGCAAGGGCATTGGATGCGAGGTACTCACTGCATGTCTGTATCAGTCGGATCTAGATATAAAGTCGCAGGCATGTTGATGCCGATGAAGCCATATTGAATGTTTTGAACATGAAAGCTTGCCTGGTCATAGTGTTGGAAAGTAAACAAGCTTCCTGGGCCTCAGTGATGATTGATTGAGCAGCTTCCCGAAGTACAGGTAGATGCTTAAGGCAAAATAGGGCTTTCAGAAGTCATTGCTGTGGTTGGTCAAGTCTTTCTTTGCAAGCATTCAGCCGACCAAAGGTTCATTGATTGCACACTTTCAGTTTGAATCAGATCTGCTCTTCATGGTGATCAATATTTCCTGCATCCGCCTTCCATCTGAGGCACCTGCTCAGCCCAAGATCCTTGGCCTCTAGACCATTGGCCAACATAAAATTTCTGGGTGGTGTATAACTCCATGTCTAAAACCAGCAACCTGACGGTGCTTTTCTTCGCAACTTCTGCTTTATACTTCTGACCACATCAGCTGGCAACAAGTAGTTCAGTCCAACACCATTTGGGCATTTATCTATTTGTTTGAAGCTTTCTTGTTGCTTTGAAGTGCCATGATTTACTGAGCCTAGTGAGATCCTTTTCACTAAAACTTGGAATTGTTTGAGGACCCCAACGACACACTGAATATGATCAGGCGGCCGCTCAATTCCCTCCCTTCAAAGTTACACCATCCCACCCTCACACAAATTTGACATTCTATGTGGATTAATGTGCCCGTTGCGAAGGCAGATCAGAAAATGTCAGATTACAAAACATTCCTGTTCCCGTTTTTCCACAGTGCAGGAAAAGGAAGTCGTCACAAACGAATTCGGAACATGAAGACCTTCTCTTCGCAGTGAGTGAAGTTTCCCTAAAGATCTAGGAACCAAAGCATTAGTGCGAGCACTTCTTCAGCCCCCGCCCTCAGGCGGGGGAGCTTCCTTGAAGAAGCGTGAACTAAGCTGCTCCCATACCAGTAGCTTAAGTGGCTAGTAGCTTACTCCCTTACTTAATTGCGCCTACTTAAGTAAGTAGGAGCGGGCAAAAAGAAAAGAAAGCTGGGAGACCCAGCAATCTCCGGCGATGGATCCAACAAGCGAGCTGCTGCAGTGAGATGGTGAGACATCCTCGGAATCGCCGGCAAAAACGCCTACAAAGGGATCATGCGAGGAGAGGGACCTCAAACACGAATAAACATCGATTGCTTTATTTGTTGGTCACCATGCCTTTAAAGTAACTAATTCCAATAGATGTGAAGGTCATCATGTACCCTGGTGGCAAGTTGACTGACTTTCGAGACGTCTTCGCACCACGCCATGGTGGTATGATATTCCTTTTTTGTGAATGAACATCGGACACACGGCGACACTCAGCACATGCCAACACTCTCGCAACACTCCCAGAGAATTATTGGAACCTCACATTGTGCGACTCTACTGTCACTAAAGCGATCTGTCTGAGACTCCTGCACAACCTCTGGGTGTGCGGCTGCTCCTGCAAGGAATCTGGCATCGGTCTGCAAGCAACACGTACACCATTCATCACCATTCATAGATTCAACTCACCATGTCTGAGACCGAGACGCTCTGCGCTGGCTGCGATATCATCCCTGGCAACAAACGCCACATGCAATCTAATTGAGACATAAACGCCATCGAGGAACTGGAAGTGATTGCACGTGGTGATTTATGTTCAATGCTGTACCCGACTTCGGCTGTACCCGACTTCGGCATCTTCCAGTCTCCAAGCGTGGCAAAGCTTACGTCGTTCGATAAGGAAAGCACTGGCGGTAACCGGTTTCATCTGGCCTGGGGCGAGAGAAGGAGCTTCGCTTGGAGACATGCAAATGAGATGTCTTAGATGTCTCTATTCCACCACGCACCAACACACAATGCATCAAACAGCCGTAGCTGTCCGAGAACAACCAACATTCACACACACATGTAGTATATAACAATAAGTACAACATATATATATATATATACACACCCACCACTCAGAGCCAAACTCAACTCCAGCAAACAGGCGCTTCGGTGGCTCAGCCAGCCGTAGATCTTTGCGATTCTTACGGAAATAAATCCTCAGCTGTGCCACCCGGCGGCATCCTCAAGTGCTGAATCCAACTTGTTCAGTCATCGTTCTGCATCCATTGTGAGAGCGTTCAATAGATAGGTCCAGGCACTTCTTACAGGATTGATTTGGAAGTGAATCCAAAGTTGCAAGGGAAAATTGAGACTTTGACCTCCCGAGGAATGATATCATCCATCTTAGTCACTACTAAAAGTCTAACAATTCCATACTCATAGCCACTGAACTGCTCTTGACTCATTGAAGCAACTCTCTGCTGCCTAGGGACATAATTGCCTCCTTTGCGCGGTAGCCACAATAGCAAGTGTTTTCCAAATGGGCCTCAGCAACAGCGATCCCATGCCGTGTCAAATACCTCTTTGACATATCTCTCAATCTGCAAACATTTGTTGTGTATCTGGATACTGAGTGCCCCAAGCCTCAATCTTAAACAATTGACTAAGCCTTCAAATCTACAAGCCTGATCACTTCTTGTTTGGAAAGGCTTCTTCATGCTTATTTCTACTTTCTTGAACATAACTGCTATATATATATATATGCATGCTTTGATTCTACTGCTAATCGCTTGAGGGCCTTTATGCAAATCCTCAAAAGCAAAGAGACCCTTTGGGCTGTGACTTGTGGTTCTTGCCGCAAGTGCCGTATCCAAGCCTTCAAGACAAGGGTTTCCCCATGTTTCCCCAGCCCAGGCCCCAGTCTCGAAGGCTATGAAACTGCGAATCCTCCACTAGAGAAGGCTAGTTACCTCTAGTCAGTCACCTCCTTCCCACTTTAGACTAAGACTTTCTGGAGCATTGAAAACAGCTCGTTGACCCAAACTGAAAACACCTTGACACGCTTCTGGAGAAAAAACAACATAAGGGAAGGGCCTCTTGATGAAGCCTTCTTAAAGGGGGTCTCATTGTCTTTTAACTCTCAAGCTGGCAACGAGATCTCGGCACTCATATAAAAAACTCTTGTATTATAACTACCTATAATCAATATAATTGTCCATTCTTGTGTTATTCCTTTCCTCTCTTTACAATGCTACAATGCACTCGACAAGTTTGTGGGCTCCCTGGTCCGTCGCCTCGTGACCGCGTTGGAGCTCTGCGGCAGCAACAGCCTCTTGCTGTGCCCTGTAACCTGGCGTTCGGAGAGAGGAAACCATAAAGAGAACATCCAAGACTTAACTAACACCTAGTAGTAAGGGGACAAATTTGTAGCGTCTTTTAAACGAGTTCGAGCTGTGCCCAAATTGTTGAATTCCACCACCTCACCTTCACCAGCATCTGGACGAGAGGTTTGAGCAAAGCTCTTTGCTCGGCTACTTTCGGTCTCTGCCTCCACTGCGTCAGGACATCTCTACGATCCAGAATTCACCAAACAAAACTTGTTGAACAGTTCAAGAACTGAACTCAACAGCCTTGTTAGGTGTGTATTGGTCTGGTACAGTTCTCATCAGTTCTCTATGAATGTCTGTCTGAGCGCCTCTGGCTGTCGTGGCAATGGGAGCTCCCTCTCATTCGCGCAAATCAAGTGCGGTGTCTGGCACCACCTATGCAGCAGCTGCTCTGCAACAGTGATTGTAGGTCAGGAAGCACTTTGAAGACAGGTATTTTGCTATATCATCATCAACAGTTTCTCTCCTACGCAGTGGATTTGCTCAGCCTTGCTGCAGGTCCTGTGGTCCTTGCATCTTATGCTTCGAAAGCTTTGGTTCAGCCAAACACACTCACTTGGGATCGTAAAACCATATGAGCCCAACCATAGACGACCACCGTTCACCACGAGTCGCCATCAGTTTCATGCCGACAAAAGGCTCAGCCAAGTCTTCTTGAAAGCTCCAGAGTGACGGAGCCGTTGTGAGCTCTTTCAAGGCCAAGCTGTGACACGGCCTGGGCCACTGAGGATGTTCTTGATATTCTAGAGCTCAGTAGGCTGCAAGTCAACACATGTTAAAGCCAACTGTTGGTAGCGGATTTGGTGGTTTGGAGGAAGCCCAGCATGGACCTTCAAAAAGTGATTCTTCTACCATCTTCACCAATGGCATCAAGACAATTTCCGTGTTTTGCAGACGCATTGGACCAGCGATTCAGCCTATATGTATGAAGCAACAAGTATTAATAAAGGAGTCTCTAAGTCTGGGCTGCAAGCAAAAAAACCTCAAGCCGGTCGTGCATGTCCTTGGTATGCAATGGGCTACGTCTACGGGCTGAAACCCGCACAATGTTGGGACGTCAAAGCATTGTTTTGGAAGCCAAGTCCATCAGCAATCATTCAGGCAAGTAGGAGAGTCCCCAAGCATTGAAACAAAGTGCCACTCCAGTAAGTAGTGTGTGTTGGGTTCGACAGGTTCTACAATTTGCTTGCGCTGAATTCAAGATGCGTCGAAGGTGTAGGTCGATACTGATGTCCTGTCTCTCTACAGCCAAGTAGGAGACACCTTTGACCCAGCATGTCACTGCCAAGACACCAACTCTTCTCCATCCGCATCGCACAGGCGTGCAAAAACTGCAGAGGTAAGGATCAGCGGCACCTCAACAGGAAGTTTGTCTTGGACAGTGGTCATCCCAAGTGCAAGTAGAGAAACAAAATGCGCAATCTTCTGGCCGATTGTTTTCATCGGCTATCATCTATCGGTTGGAGGCCATCGCTACTAGGCTGGAGGCCATTGCTTAGGTTGGAGGCCATCGCTATTAGGTTGGAGGCCATCGCTATTATCGCTATTAGGTTGGAGGTCATCGCTATTAGGTTTGAGGCCAGGCCATCGCTAGTAGGTTGGAGGCCATTGCTATTAGGTTTGAGGCCAGGCCATCGCTAGTAGGTTGGAGGCCATTGCTATTAGGTTTGAGGCCAGGCCATCGCTAGTAGGTTGGAGGCCATTGCTATTGGGCCATTCTCTCAGTATCTCAACATTCCGGGCCCATTCACCTGCGAGCCCGCCAAGCTGCGCCCGTGGCGCTCAGGGACCGCAGCACAGGCCATGGCAGACACCTCGGCCAGCAACAGTTGTTCAAACATACAAAGTTAATGAATACCTAAATACTCGTCATACAATCTCCGGCCTGTAGTCATTGCCCTGAGTATTTCATCGGTTATTGGCCTTGCTTTCAACTTCCTCCGCTGGGTCACCAAGCTCGAGAAGCTTCCGCTAGAGCAATGTCCCTCGCGTTGTCGCGCCTCCAAAAATGTATGGTGGAGAACAAAGGAGGGGTTTTGAAGCAAGATAGAACGTCTCTGAAGATGAATTGGTCCTCATAAAAGCAACTTGTTGTCACTGCACAACGGCCAGCTTTTGAGCTCGGCCTTTTCAATTGCAACGCAGGTTCGGTTTCAACCAGGACCCGCCTCTTGAGCTTGATCACGGGACGGCCCATGGACCCGAAATCAGGCAGGACCACAGCATACGAGAGCTTGGCCTGGAGGAAGTGAATTGACACCAACCTCGTTGCTAGTAGTAAGGCCAGGAGCCCCTAGTAGCGTCCTTGCTCCTAGTAGCGATGCCAGGAGCTTGTTACTAGTAGTAAGGTCAGGAGCCCCTAGTAGCGTCCTTGTTACTGGTAGTAAGGCCAGGAGCCCCTAGTAGCGTCCTTGCTCCTAGTAGCGATGCCAGGAGCTTGTTACTAGTAGTAAGGTCAGGAGCCCCTAGTAGCGTCCTTGTTACTGGTAGTAAGGCCAGGACCCCCTAGTAGCGTCCTTGCTGCTAGTAGCGATGCCAGGAGCCCCTAGTAGCCTTGTTACTAGTGGTAAGGCCAGGAGCCCCTAGTAGCGTCCTTGCTCCTAGTAGCGATGC